AAAAAGATTGTGGTTTGATGAATACTTTGATTATAGCTGATATGAAGAGCCGGGCTGTAGATTATATTCTCTTTCATCGTATGATGACTCTTCTTCATAATTTTCTTTTAGGAAAGAACCAACATAATGCATTCAATAATTTGTTCAACTGATGATGCTTCTTCGAATTGGACATTAGAACCACCGTTTATATTATGTATGGTTCAATGATTATTGGTCCTAGAGTATGGGTGAAGCCCAGTTTGTCGATCTGGTTCATTTGAATCCTTATGCTCCATTTACTACGAAGGCTGACTTTTGGGAATGCTGAATTGCAGTTAGATAAAGCGGCCCCACTTCTTGCTGGATTGAAGGAGCCCATAGTTGTTGCAAAGGTAGATGCTGACAAGTACAGAAAGCTTGCTTCTAAAAATAATGTTGAGTATGTTGCCTCTGCCCCTGGAATCTAAGTGTTCTTAGCTCTTTAGAATTAATTATATTGCTTTCTTCTAGATGAGGTGCTCTAATACTGAATATCATGTGTCCTAAGAATATTGGAGAGGTACTTAAAAATCTTTCTACTTGATGCAGTGGATATCCGACACTAAAGATTTTTATGCATGGCATCCCTACTGAGTATTATGGGCCTAGGAAAGCTGATTTGCTTGTTCGGTTTCTGACAAAATTTGTTGCTCCTGATGTTGCTGTTTTAAACTCCGACTCTGCTATAAGAGACTTTGTCGAAGCAGCAGGCACAAATTTCCCCATGTTTATAGGATTTGGCTTAGATGAGTCCATTATTGTAGATTTGGCTGTCAAGTATAAGAAGAAAGCATGGTTTTCTGTTGCCAAAGATTTTTCCGAGGATGTCATGACCTTGTATGATTTTGATAAGGTGCCTGCTCTGGTTGCAATTCATCCAGCCTACAATGAAAAAAATATATTCTATGGGCCATTTGAAGGTTAGCTTGTATTTGCTCGTAACTTTATCCTTTGGAACAGTTGTTATCTAAATTGTTACTCTGTTGAAGCATGACTTTGTTAATTTTTTTTATTGTATACCCTATGAGATAATTATATACACATTATGGACATTGTTTATGGTTCGGTAATCGTTATGTTGGATCTATGATTTATCAAATAGTTCCAATTTCAGTTTCTTTTTTAGCGGCAGTTAAAATTTCTTTGAAAAGTAGATGTGTCAAATGCCTGATAGTTTAAATCTCTTTTAGTATCTTCGAAATGGCATGCTCTTGGGGTTTACTTGGGTATCAGGTGGACATAGGGTTAGCATTGAAATTTTTGTGATTTACTAATTTTGTGAGTAGAGCATTGAATTTCTGCACTATTTTTGGAATTTTGCCTTCTAGTTAATAGTAAATTGTCATTGATAATTGTATTTTATGACCTAACTGCAGAAAAATTTCTGGAAGATTACATAAAACAAAGTTTGCTGCCTCTGGTATTACCTATAAATCAAGACTCGTTAAAGTTACTTAAAGATGATGAGAGGAAAGTTGCTCTTACGATCTTAGAGGATGAAGTGGATGAAAAATCCAGGAAATTAATAGAAGTTTTAAAGTCTGCTGCCTCTGCAAATCGTGATGTAATATTTGGCTATGTTGGGTTAAAGCAATGGGAAGATTTTGTCGACTCATTTGAAATCAACAAGAAGACTAAGCTTCCTAAGATGGTTGTATGGGATGGCGATGAGGATTATTATAATGTAAGTGATTCTCTCTATTATGCTGAAAGCATTCCTTCAGTATTGTCAGTGTTCTTGAGGAAATGTACTTTTTTGTGATTTGTTTTGTTTTTCTCGGCAACATGTTTGACAAAATGTTTGATATAAATGTTCCTACCTGAGTAAAGTTCATGTGTATTATTGGATTCTGCTGTAAAGTCTATGTTGTTGACTAGCTCTATTTATTGAATTAATAGAAAGGAAAAGGCAATGTCAGCATTTCTAGATGAAAAAAAAAAAAAAAAACTTAATTTTTCTCCTCAAAGCTGAAAACCCTTATTTTCTTATCCCCTTTTTGGTTTGTCTACAGTTACTTTTCCTAAAGTTCCTATCAAATGTACTCTTCTTTTTGTTTGTACAGGTTATAGGTTCAGACAGCATAGACGAAGCCGACATGGGCAACCAAGTCTCAAAATTTCTGGAAGGCTACAGAGAAGGAAGCGTGATTCAAAAACGCATCTCGGGCCCAAGCTTGATGGAATTCATAGCCTCGAATTTTGCTGTCAAGATTTTTCTCATTTTCCTATTTGTTTTGCTGGTGATGATACTGATCTTGGCAACAATGAAAGATGAACCTCAAACTGTCGGCATGCGTGTCCCGGCTGAAGATAGAAGGACCTCCGCCTCTCAGACCGAAGCCAGAGACAAAGAGGATTGAGATTTTGTCTTTCTAGAAAGGTCTTCAACCATGCTTTTGGAAGACAGTGATCTTTATTCTCAATTTTTTTTGCACTCGGTGATTGCCTAGTTCATCAGACTTGGGTCAAATTTAGTTACTGTTTGTTGAGGATGAAAAGATTGATGATATGTAATCTTCGTTTCTGCACGTTGTACAGGCCGGCGTGCTATTGTTATTTACATTGAAATTTGTTCCGGTTTCCCCTGATTTTTTTTTTTATCTTCAAAACTCTTGAAAATGGAACTGTAGAGTATAGATTGTAATTAGGTAGGTAGGTTCAATTCAAACAAAATGATGGAAGTCTGAAGAAAAGAAGTATAAGCAACATAAATACTTCTAAGACATTTGAGATTCTCCAGTTGAAGGTTTGGCGCACCGATAAGCAATGTAGAACTAGTAAACTTACAGTATCCATCCCTCAACGAGCAGAGGCCCTCCCAAACAACCCGATAGGATAAGGTCTAGTGCACCGTCGAGTAGAGTAACTTTACTCGACCTCAGATTCCGGAGGGGCATATTATTAGTATGCAACTCGGGCAAATACTTCACCTTGGAAACAACATATTATTAGCATGCAATTCGGGCAAATACTTCACCTTGGGGACGACGAAGAAGTTGTATTTGTTTTATTCTTTTTCTTGAGGATGATGCAAAATCTAGAATTTTGTAGGTCAGTAGAGTGAGCCATGTTGACAAAAGTATGGTTGCTATAGAGATCTTCATGGCTAACAGAAACAGAGAGGGAGAGGAGGATTTTGAAGAAGAGAAACCAAGTCTTGGTTCCAAATTAGATGAACAATTTTCATAAATAATAATAATAATAATAATAATAATAATAATAATAATAATAATAATCAATGAGTAAATAAAATAGTTTACCTGCAACCCATCAGTG